GACTTGAAACTACTTCAGTCTGTGTGCACTGAATTTATTTAATACACGAGTTTCACAATTTGAGTTGAATTACTGAAATAAATGAACTTTTCCACGACATTCTAATTTATTGAGATGCACCTGTATGCACATGCTACGGCTGGCACTTTATTTAATGCATTTATTGAAATGTATATTTGCATGATGAAGCGTTGTTATCCGTGTTTCTGGTGTTTGTGTTGTGAAGGGATTCCTTCCTGTGGTCATTGTTACATTAATGGCAAGAACAGTATTTCTGTGTTGGCATGTGTTGTAAAGTATTTATTGGGTTTTTATCGCACATTTGCTGATGCTTCGAACTGATCATCCATTCAGATGGTGCACTACCCAGAGTCCTCAGGACACACTGACCCTAAAAAGGGAAATCGTGTTCTCAAACACCTCTTTAACAACAAAACAAGTCAATGTTTGCTGTGCATTATCATGTATACTTTATAATGATTTTTCAAGTTGCAAATTTTATTAAAACAAATACAAAGATGAGTTTGAAAAAAAAAATCTCTTGTCTCTTTCAATAAAATGCATGCGTGCGTCAGAGTTAACATCTGGATTAACTGATGCTAAACATTAACACTCCATGGAGACTTTTTTGGCACTACAATGCAAATACCTGTCATCCATTTATATGAACAACCATCAATACCCATAGATCAGTGAGAGACTCACCAGGGCTCATGCCTTTGATCACTCTGTTTTTCCATTTGTTCGGCTTTAACTAGAAACATCCAACAACTGGAAACTCATCTCTCCTGGCTATCTGCTTTTTTGTATTTGTGGACATCTGTTTTCAGTTAGAAAATCTAAGTTGTTTGAGTGATGAGCAGGGTTGTGTGCCTTTCAGATGCCTTTTAAATTCCTGAATTTAATTGGATTTAAATTATGGTAGCAAACACAATATAGAACTGTAATTTGAATTTAGAACAGGACTGACCATTAGGTGAGGATGGAGTTTTTCGTTCCTTGGCACTCTCTCCTCTGGCTTGCTTACTGGGGAGTTAAAGGGTTAGTTCACCCAAAAATGAAAATTAGCGCAGTGCTGAACTCATACGTCATCTGCCCGGAGCTGCTTCCGTGTTCAACTGTTGGCGCAAGCTACATTAAAGTAATTATTACGTTTTGAATATGGATATTTTTCTTACAAAAACGCATCGATTCTCTACAGGAGGCCTTTCTTCACCCCCCGGAGCCGTGTGAGACACTTTTTTTAATGGATGGGCGCTTTTTATTCAACTTCTTTTGGACTGATGCATGCAACACCCGCTGAGTGCCATGAAACAGCTTGAAAGATCAAAGACAATTTTTAATATAACTCTGACTGGATTCGTCTGAAAGAAGAAAGTCATATACACCTAGGATGACTTGAGGGTGAGAAATTTATGGGCTAATTTTCATTTTTGGGTGAACTAACCCTTTAAAGCATTATGTAACTCTTGGCAGGTCCCTGTCATTTCAAACTACAAACTTCAAAACTATTTTAAACTACATCAACTCAAATCTAAACAATGTAAGCAAAATAAATAATTAAAAAAAATTTTTTTTTTCAACCACAGTAAGGAAAGACATCACAATATAGTAATTCTGCCTGAAATCAGAGAAGCTACTATAGTTGAAATTAAAGACATACCCTATATATTCTCAACATAAAGTTTCCGGTCCACATTGACTTTTATACTATTTTCCATACTATGGAAGTCAGTGGGGACCAACAACCATTTAGTTACCTGCATTCTTCAACATATAAAATATATAATGTATAATATATAAAAAAATAATTTGTTTTAAAAGCTCAGGCGTGTATCCAAGCATCAGACTTTTCCAGACTTTTCACCAATGACAATCTGTCATATTTGTCACATATTGTTTTATTATTTGTCTTATGTTTTATTATTTGTCCCCCCCCAAACATAAATTGATAAATGATTTAATTTTCATCATACCCAATGTATGTATATAATGCCGAAAGAAAGAAAATTGTTAAGAGCATTTTTAATATGAATAAGCACCAGTTAAGCTGCGATACCAAACAGGACCACAGGGAGACGCCAAAAGACCACTAAACCTGCTGCCTTAACCAGACTGTACATGCTACTATATGGATCCATTCAGAATAACTAAACCACTCACCAGCGCATAACTAAAACACCTTCAGTCGGCATTCGTTATAAATCACTTGTGCTTTTAAGCCAAATACACGCTGAAAAGAATAATTTACTGACATCTGGACGAGAGTCACTATTCTCTCCGCCATCTCTGATGAAATCTTCCGTGTTTTCTCTGCATTAGTGCTGTTTTGAACGTATTACTCATTACTAATGCATTTGCTTACTGGGTCCTTGAACTTTCCAGAAGTTTACCGGTTTCAAATGACCTCCTGTGTAGTGTGCTTTATAGTGTCATTTCTAATCACCCAGACACTGATGCTTTGACTCAGTACCGGCAACAGGTCAGAAGTGCCGGTACGCTAAAGACTAAAATATTGAAGTGCCGGTACTGTGTACCAATGCGTACACTCTAAAAAATGCTGGGTTAAATATAACCCAGCGCTGGGTTAAAAAGAGACAAACCCAGCTATTGGGTTGTTTTGACCTAGCGGTTGGGTTGTTTTGAACCCAACCGCTGGGTCAAAACAACCCAATTGCTGGGTTAAAACAACCCAATAGCTGGGTTTGTCCCTTTTTAACCCAGCATTTTTTAGAGTGTACCGGCCCACTTCAAGCACTGTGTAAAGCTGCTTTGAAATGCTGGTACACAAATAAATTTGACTCAGCTTGAGTTACAGTATCTATACCACTAACTGATTTACATCCAAGAATTCTCCTCAGCATACAGATAGATCAGAAGTTTGGGCTCTCCAGGCACCCTGCCAGTACTTGGTGACTTCAGTGCTGTATGCTCTCTCAGGGCTACAGGAATCTAAAATGTCCTCTGTTTGTGTGGCTGAGGAGCGCCTTCAGTACTCCCATGCTGCCTGCCACCCACTGAGACCACAGATGTAAGTGATACAGGCCACACATGTTATAAACTCTTGAGTGGATGCCTGATTATAGCATTCATCAGCTTTTTTTCTTTTCAATTAACCGGTTGTTTGAAGCCCGAGAACTGTGGTGATCTTTTCTAACACAGATAGAGGCTGTGCTCTACTTTAAACACATTGGAGGACATCTTGTGGTGTTGGATAAATCTAACCAAAAATTTTAAACCAGTCCATGACGTCTTTCAGTTCACACCAGTACATCAATAACCGTTTAATTTTGATCTTTGCTGCTGATGGCATGTGAAATGTTAATTAAATGCCAAACAAAATGACCAACCATTAGGCTGTAAGTCAAAAGTTGGCACTGAATGATCAATGCACAGACTCGTGTGACAAAACAAGATAGCGTCAGTTTTAAACAAGTGCCTCAATGGGAGCAGATCAAACAAAAATGCATATGGTTAGAAACCTAACAAAAAATTGTAATTAAAATTGAGATTATTTTGAAAGAATAGCATTTTATTCTGATGTGGCAATTCCATAATTTATATAACAAGTAGTACTGGTATATTGACAATACACCAATAGCCTTACACATCTTTTGCTAAATTCATTTTATTCTATCTAGTATTTTATGTGATATTTTGTGATATTACATTCATACCTGTTTACATTATTTTATTACTTTTTAATTCTATTTTAGAACACTTTTATTTTTAAAAAATTTCTCATCTTTTATCTATTTTTTATCTCCTATATTTTGTGGTTTTGTTTGTTTGACAATGCACAGACATTTACATTGTTAAAACATTAGTAATAAAAAGTTTGAAATATACACACACATATAAGCTGTGTCCCAAAGTTGAGTGTGCACACTTCGAAGGCCACGGACTTTCGAAGGCCAGGCCTCCGAAGTGCATGAAGGACGCTCTGCCTTCGCAGGATTTCCTAATTGCGACACCGTGAGGTTCCTGATCAGCGCTCAGTCACATAGCAACAGTGTGAGAGGAGAGCTGCCGAGAAGACAATCCTGCCAGAATAGGTGGAGCCAGAATTGCTAATTTTTGTTTTTATGTTTTACGTCATAATGGAGGAGACGGTGATGTACCTCAGGCTTAGACAAGACCGAGGCCATGTAAGTTACACTGGTTTGCTGCGTCCTTTGTCGGATTACAACTTTAAATGCAGGAATTGGCTTGGAGCTTACTTGAATAATGTAATGATACATATGAAAAACTACCAAATACACACACACACATAGCAATTCAAATGCTGACTGATATCTTACAAAGGTGCGATTTTATATAGTTTATTGTCTTGACCATGGTGATCTCATGTAAACAGGTTTGCAACCCGGATTTTCTAGGCAGTTAACCATAAACATAAAACTGTGGGAAAAAAATTAAAATAAAATAGCGTTCTGTATGACCGGTCCGAGTTCTTCAGATGCAGCCTTTGATATAGTTAGCAAAAATGTGTTAAAGGCATAGTTCACCCAAAAATGAACATTTATGTTTATCTGCTTGCCCCCAGGGCATCCAAGATGTAGGTGACTTTGTTTCTTCAGTAGAACACATATGATGATTTTTAACTCCAGCCGTTGCAGTCTATCAGTCATATAATGCATGATGAGGTGTGTATGCGCTCTGGCGTAGTTTGCGTTAATGGGTGTGTTGATATCCAGCCGAAGAGCAATCAACCATAACTTCAGGCGAGCAGC